GTGTCGTACACACCTCAACAAATAAGCAATGGGTCAGATGAGTTTGTTAAGTCGTTAAGTAGGCGGCCGTAACTAAGCAAATACATAACTCACAACAGTAACTAAAGCCAAATATTTAATATCTGTTGAGAATTTCGAGATCTAGACACACCGTTGACTTATTACATTATACAGAGGAAAGTATGGCATTTAACACATCGAGACAATTTACTTAGTTATATCGGTACCTTTGCTGAACTAACAAGATTTTGATCCTTAAAGGTTACTATAATAATTGTGGTAACGAACTGTCGGATAAAACTATTAGTGGAGACTTCTTTTTAATAGCTTTAACAGAGTTTTATCTTACAACAAATATCAGTTTACCAATGGTAGTCGCATTTGAAACCACTCCAATGGCTTAAAAATGTAATTCTTACTCCACGCAACAGCATTCTGTGATTAAGAAAATGGCGTAAAAGGATGGAAAATTATGGTAGCCTGAAAAAAGAAGAAGAAAAAAAGAAGTTTGAAAAAAATAACGTGTATAAAAAATTCTACTGTTTCATAGTTGGTCGCGTAAAAATTTGAAAGAAAGAAAACAAAAAAAGAACAACAGTAAAAACTAGACAGAAAGGGAAAAAGAAATAAAAGACTAAATACAAAAAAATAGAGAGAAAATAAAGAGATCAAGATAACAAGAGAAAATATATTCAAATTTATTTTTTACTACTTTTACTAGTTAAATAAATGTTTTACTACTTTTACTAGTTAAATAAATGTTTTACTACTTTTACTAGTTAAATAAATGTTTTACTACTTTTACTAGTTAAATAAATGTTTTACTACTTTTACTAGTTAAATAAATGTTTTAATAATCTAGGTTGTTTTATACACGTACCTTTGAGAAAAGTATATTTTAAGCCAGATGGTTTGTAAAAAAAATTGTTACAGTTGTGTGAAAATCTATTTTTAGAATTAGCGATTAAAGAACCGTCAAAATTATTTCGTTGTGAACTGTAGTGGATTCATTGTTTGAATTTATGGAAAAAAATATTTTATCGTATTTATTGACCAATTAGAGGCGTGGTCTGGACTGAAGTTCTCTGGGAGTGCCTTTTGTTTTCTTATAAAAGGAGGCACACCTGTTGATAGGATCAGAAAGCATTTAGTCGTCAAGGAGAAAGCATTAAAAGCACGCACACTTCAAGACCAGGGGGAATTAGTCCTGAGAAAAGGGTAATAAATCATCACCGGGGGGGGAAAGAAGGACCAACAGTTAAATCTCAACCGGAAGTAGATTCAAGTCCCAAGGACAGTATGTTCATTTTTGGCTCTCCTAGAGAGCCTTTTCAGTAAAGGACGATATAAAGTCCCCGTGATAACAACCTGTTGAAACCATAAAACCCTTTTGTATTGAGACATACAGATTCAGTTGTAGAAATTAAATAGTTGCGCATTTGTATTTTCTGCTTTCTCAAAGTTTTTCCCTTTTTTTTCATTTTCACAATGTTTCATCTTTTTTATCGTTTATTGGAAATGTTATCCTGTCTTAGTTTTTGTATAAATTGCGCAAAAGGTAATTTTTGTGCAAGTTATTGTATGAAAATTTTGTATTTATTTTATTTTGTCTACTGTAATAAATGCCTTTCCTTTTAAATATCGCGTAGTGGTCAAGTTTTGTTTGTTTTACGCCTTATTCAAATTTACGACAAGAACAAGAGTGACACATGTTTTCTTTTCCCATTCTATCCTGACTAACCAAATTTTTGTGTTTGACACAAAAAAATTTAGGTTTTTGTAGGGAGTTAATTTTTTCATAAATGAAGCAAGAAAAAATCATGAAAATTGGAAGTAAAAAAAAAATGAATACATTTGTTAAAAATGCACTGTCAATAATTTTGAAGTGTAAAATCATTTGTTTTTTATCATTCTACCCTAAGTAAGGTGATAAAACCACAAAGACGCGAGTGATTGCCGAGAAAAAAAAAGTTATTGGGGAGCAAAGACAATAAAAGATCAGGTTTCAATGCAATCAAAGATAATGATTGACATTGTATTTAAATGTTTGAAGATCGTAGTTGATAGGAAAGCAAAAATCCGGAATAGAGTTCAGCATTACAAGTGATGAAATCTAACTGCCAATCTAGTGCTACGTTTAAATTTATAAAGTCAAGGTAGCAAAGAGGAGAGCACATCAGAACAATTGCCATGAAAATATTTATTGAAAAGGAGGTTACATTACGGCGATGGGAAAGTGAGTGAAGCCGAGATACTAAGTAATGATCGATAACATTGCAGATTCGTCTTTGGGTTTTTGTAAAGAATCTCTAGATAAAAAGTAGTAAATAGATAGAAACAGTAAATATTAAAACCCATAAAATAGTTATTGACATTATTTGCATTCGAATTATTGTCCTCATCTTTGTTTTTATTATCACAACGTTTCAGCCGTTGTATCCCCCGGGCTACTTCAGAGGCTCCTCAATCTGTGTAACGTTTAGAAAAATTCGAACTGAACCATTTCTTTAATCTACGGGGGTAGATTGTTTTCGTTCCGCTGACCATGTGTCCAGGGATATCTTGTCCGGTTCTTATTTGAGTCCTGCTCAGTTATTACTCGCCCCGTTTCATTGAGTCCAAGTACACACTACCCGGCCTAGGGATTGAACTCACAATTACTATGTCACCAAATTCGAAACAATCTACCCCCGTATATTAAAGAAAGGGTTCAGTTCGAAATTACCTGATGGCTTACTTCTATCGACAAGTAGGTGGAGTGCAAAATGGCTGAAATGTTATAATAATAACAACAGAAATGGGGATAATAGTCTACATATAAATAATGGTAACTTATTTCAGAAATTCAAACACAAAATAATTGCTATTTCTTATTAAAATACGAGTTTCTCTTGATTTCACTTCTTTTCCACTAAATCTCTTTTAGGAGCAAGACGAAAGAACGAAAAAAACAAAAAACAAAAAAACATTATTATTTCTAATTTTTTTTTTTATTCCTTTGTATTTTCATTTGTCAGTTTTCTTTTCTTTATTATTATAAGCAATCATTTATGCAACAAATTATCCCCCCCACCAAACCAATGAAATAATTGCCGTTTCTCTTCTCACTTATTCTTTCTAAAAATATGTATTGATGATCTATATACTTAATGATGGCGTGACGCACGAGGCGACATACAAACGAAACTCTTTCCTTTTCTAAATGTAACTCTTAGTTGTTAAATACATCTCAGCTCCTAAACCGAAGATGTTATATATTTTGGGGGACACTGATATTTCCATTAGCACGGGGTAAATACTCGCAGACAATACGCGTACAATATACAAGATTAAATATAGTTTTTAAATTTATTACTTATTATTTTCTTTATCATAAAAAAGATTCATCAGTTTCCTTGATGTCAATAACATCCAGAATATTTATATCCATTGGATTCAAATGTGGATTTCTTGGAGTCCAAATACATAAATGAATAAATAAATAATTAATTTTTTTTTAATTCTGTCTTTAATCAAACCTGAATTAATGAAAGACTGCTGCCTAAATACACATTATATGTACATAATATATATGTGCTCACACAAGGAAAATTTCAATTTATATATATAGCTTAATTAGGATTAATTTTTAAACACATGGAAACCTACCAAACTCCATCTGCAACATACTTATAGAAAATACAATTATAATAGCATCTTCAACAGGTAAAAAGGCTAAAAATAATGGAAGCATTATTAATAAAAAAAAAAGAAGAAAAAAACCAACATACAATAGCATCAACTATGAACACGGTCGCAATGTACTGACCGTGTTTGGAAAATAAAACATTCCTATGACTCTAGATACATACATTAAAAAAATCCATAGATTCAGTTAAAGTAAAAATAAAATCATTATTGATAATGACTAAAAGACAATACGAAAACGCTCAGACATACAAAATATTCTTAGATTTTCTATATAATTTATGTCCAGAAATGAAAAAACCTTAATCGCACTACCTTGTCAATCATCTTTAATGAAACTTGTATAAAAAGGAATTGCTGCTCAAAGGGTTTTTTTCTTTGGACCCTGAACTTGAGCTCTGGACGATTGTTTTCGCCTCAATTTCATGTTCTTAGTTCTTTCTTTTTTTTATTCCTCTTTTTTCCTTGGGTACCAGTTTGTTCTACTACAAGCCAACATACCCAAGTTTTTTCCAAGCGACTACCAACATATTTATACACACACACACACACACACACACACACACACACACACACACACACACACACACACACATACATATATATATATTTATGTATATAGAGCAATATAGTAGGTGTGCTATATTTATGGGATAAAGTGTTCAATATCAGAGATAGAGCGTATGTAAATATAAATATAAAAGTGAACATTGAAGTCAACACATGAAACAGCCTATCGCCTCTGAGTGTTGACTTCAATGTTCACTTATATATATATGTATGTATGTATAAACAGTTTTTGTCTCTCTATAAGTTTGCTATCGTTATTTGAGTTGTCTGAAAAAGTAAAAAAAACAAACAACAAAAATAAATATTCTTACAAGAGGCTCAGAATATTAAATCTGATCCTCACATACTCTAAGAGCGAAAAGAAATCTTGAGTTGCCTCCCTTTGTCAAGGAAATCTTCGGTCAGTTGGTTGTAATTGTTGTTTGAATAGGCTATTTCGGAAATATTTTTCATCTGTGTTGGTGAATAATACTTTCACTAGTTCATTCTCCACTTTCTTTCGTTTGGAATTTTGTCCGGGGTGGAATTTGCTGTTGACCAATTGATGCATTGTGCGGTGGACTTAGAAAAAATTGAAAGATATATTGGTAAAAAAATATACAATGTTTACTTTTTGGAGTTGTATTTTTTTTTCTCACTCGATAATTGTATTTAGCATTGTTGATAAGAACGTTTGCATTTATTAAGTATCAAAAGTATGTTATCAGTAAAGTAGCATTTAGGTAAAATAAAAAGAAAAAATGTTAAAGTAAGTGAGAAAAAGAAAGAAAATGAAAGCAAGAAAGAAAAAAGAAATAAAAATGAAGGGAAATGTAAATAAGAGAGAAGGAAGGAAAATGGAAGAAAGAGAGAAGAAAGGAGAGAAAGGAAAGAAAAAGAAGGAAAAAAGAAGGTAAAGGTGAGGAAAAAAAAGGAAAACTGAAGAAGCAAAAAAGGAAAATGTAAGGAAAGCAAAAGAAAGGAAATAGCTGAAGGTTAAAAAAAAGTAAAATGAAAAAAGAAATGAAAAAGAAGGAAAATAGAAAAAAGATAAAATGGGGAAAGTAAAGAAATAGAAATAAAATAGAAGCAAGGAGAAACTGATGGAAAAAGGAAGAAGAGAAAACAGATGGGAAAAAGGAGAGAAAAAAGAAGGAATGGAGAGGAAAAATAAAGCTAAACAACTACAAAATGCTTGAATAAAATGACATTAAATTGCATTTGAACAAACGCGCGTGCGCGCACGCACGCAATCACGCGCGCGCACACACACACACACTCTAAAGTAATCAAAAAGAAAAAATGGAACCAAAAATAAGACATCCAGACAAAAAGTTCCTGGCATTCACTCAATGGGAAAAGAAAAAAACAGTAAAAATCATTTTTAGAGTAAACCTGGTCACTTTAACTTAAATCAGATTACCAAATTTTTAAGTGCACAATTTCCGTATTTTACTTTTTTTTTTTTAGCAATTAAAACTATTCGCAAACCAAATTAAAATCAAATTGACCTTTTCTTTTCCATTTTTTTTTAATATATCGGTTGCCTGACATAAACCACAAAAGGAAAGCACTAATCAGTCATATTTTTTAGTGTTATTTTCTTTTAAAGTTTATCAATGCCGTTTTATTTTTATTTTTATATCTATTCTATTTTGAAATCATATTGCTTATTTACATTTCGTAGCAAGGTTATTCGGTGTTGCTCTGGGTAAAACCAAATATTATACTTAATATTTTCTTGCTATCTTTTTCCATTTTTCCTTTAGTCATTTCAATAAAAGGAAGATGGAAAAGAAGCGGGAAAAAGAATAACATTTCCTTCTCTGCATATATGAAAATTATATTATTCCACGCACACACAGGCATTAATATATTCAACTTTTTTGTATATTTATCAAGTACCAAAGTGTATATCTTAATTTAATAATAATAATAATAATAACGATGGTAAGATAGGCCACATCGTCAATACCCGTTCCGTACCAACCAAGCTGATGTAGACAAACCCATCAGTGGTTACGTAGTGCAGGGTTAAAATATGAAACCGAAGGTTTTATTCTTGCTGCAAAGACCAATGCTTGCTAACTAGAAATTACCAAGCAAACATACTGAAAAATTGCGTTGACCCGAAATACAGATTCTGTGATAAATATCCAGAAAGAATTGACCATCTTGTATCAGCTTGGCACCAAACTCGGCATGATGAATTGGGTCAATATCTGCATTGAAAAATATGCAACTTTTATGGGAAGGAAACTGCAAGAAACTGGTATGAACATCACCCAGGATCCGGTTACAAAGATAGGACCTGTAACAATTGTATGGGACTTTACAATGCACACAGACAGGACAATAAAAGCTCAGACATCGTGATCAAAGACCACAAGAACAGAACAGTGCTTTCTTATTGACATGGCAGTCCTTGTAGATTGTAATGGATCTTTCAAGATATTCAAAAAGCTAAAAAAATCAGATCTTGAAATGGAAATCTAAAAAATGTGGCACATGGGGACATCAATAATTCCAGTTGTAGTTGGAGCCTTCGTACTGATTAGAAAAGTTTCCGATAGAGTCATTGAAGGGATTCATGGTAGCCCATGCCTTACAGAAATACAAAAAAATTACTCACAATTACAGCTCACACATTACGAATAGCTTTATGTATACAAAGTGTGTGGGATCTTAGTTTTTTTTTATTACAGAAATGTTCAGTGGAAAATGTCATGGAGGCATTTCTGATCCTTAGGTCTCTGGTTGAGACCCGGAAGGAAATGTGTATACAACAGAAATGAAAAGAAATAATAATAATAATAATAATAATAATAATAATAATAATAATAATAATAATAATTGCTTATCATCTGGCTGACTATAATTAGTTAAGGATGCTGTCCCCTTTGGGGATGTCCCATGGTGCATATCAGTTCATGGACGAGAGAGTATCAAGGTTACTTATTGAGGTTTTTTTTTTTTAAGAATAAAGAATGGAGCTATTAATTTGACTTGAGAGTCACATTTAGATAATTGGGATCACCTTCAATCTGAGAATATCTGAACGGACTGGGTTACCCGACCTCAACGTATATTTTTGATTGGCAGGGCCGGTGCAAGGATCTCGTATCCCCCAATCTATGATACGCCCCCTTAATCTTTGATACTGACCCCTCCGCTACTCGACTACATCTCAATTTTTATATGTTTTATTCATATAAAATACAAATTTTATGGTAACCTATGTACAATATGCAATATAAGTGAACAATTCAACTAGAAAAATTGAAAGTAAATGCAATGTATCTAAATACAAATTAGAAACATGTCATAATAGATCATTTCATCTTAATAAATTAACAATATTTTGAGGCAATTTTTAACATCAACTTGAGATTTTTCTTGTTAAAAAGTTGAATAATTTTAACACATTCAACATTATGGATAAAAATTAATGAATGTTATAGTATTTTATCGAGACTTAGCATGAGCAAAACAAATTTTAACAAAAAAAAAAAAAAACCAGAATGATGTCAAAAGGCATTTATCATAATCGAAATTATGGAAAAATAAATGGACTTCATATATATATATATATATATATATATATATATATATATATATATATATAAAAGTCAATTTATAATAAAATAAAAGGACTTAAAACTATAAATATATATTTTATAAAATACAATAAATCCACGTTTATTTTAGATATAAAATAAAAATATTAATCCCCGTTTATTTTAAATATCAAATATAAATCCCCTCTAGTTTAAATACAATATTTACGGAATAACATATAAACTGACTTTATTGTTTTTGGGAAAACGATATTATGAAAGGGCCATGTGGAAGATTTTAGACCACAAGGACTGAGGAGGAATAGCGAAAATACATTCGAAGTTTGTTGAGAAATTTGGAAACGAAAGTAGAATCGGAGAAATTGATTTATATCCGCTTCCTAAAGTGGAAGTTACGAAAATATGTCTCATGATTGCCAGATGGAAGAAGGGGTCAGTTGTAATATATATATTTTGGTAATTTTGAAGACGAAGGTAGATAGAATAGAGATACTGATTTATGCCCGCTTACTTAAAGTGGAAGTTACGAAAAACGTCTGATGATGGCCAAACTGAAGATGAGGTCAATTGAGTTATAATATTTGGTAATTTTGAAGGCAGAATCGAAAAAGTGATTCATGCCTGTCTGTCAAAAAGTAGAAATGCAAACAAATCGAGAAATAGGATTTTTTTTAAGATAGGAAACAAACCGGTCAGATTCATAAGTACGAGTAAGTGAACAAGATATAAAAACAAATATTTGCTATAAGCGGGTCAAAAAAGACTGCTGGTAAATCTCTGATTGCATAAACAAGACCAAGGGCCGAGAAAAATTCGTTGTTGAAAATTAAGATATTTACAATTAATGACTAAAAGTTAAGACTGCCTTTTCGCCTACGCGTTTTAAGAATCAGATCTTTTAAAGAGCCAGCCGAGATGGCGGGTTTAGATGAGATACTAAAGGAGACGGAGAAATTACCTTCTCCCATCTGGAAGTAATAGTACGAGGCATAAATAAGAGAAGGAATGAGTTATACGAGCGGACCAATATCTGCAACCACTACTCGTAGGAAGAAGAGAACTCCCAAATTTGGAGAGATAATTAATATTAAGAACCAGACAACAAAGAACTCTTGTTTAAATCGATATAGAAACCTGGGGAACCCCAAACACCCTCAGCCACCTTTCCGGTTTTAAGTCGAAGTCAATATAAGCAGAGTACTTAAGCAACCCAGGGCAGAAAGAGAGAGAGAGAGAAAAAAAAAACATTGGCAAAAGGCAGACAAATGTGATACTAGGATCCACGTAACTTGCTGCCGAGAGAATCCCCTACTTTGAGCCCTTTCCCCAAAATTGGCACCGATAAGCAAAGTTTCACTTAAGAGATTTTGGTAGGAAGGATTAATTTTAGTGATGCAAAGAACTATATAAACCAAATTGATAATCAACCCGAGGAGTTTTTTCGTTTTTATTTCCTCTCCGAAGACATCTATTTTTTCCCATCATGACAACTTAGCCGTGATTACTGACGATACTCAATCCCTACCAGCTCTGTGATCAAGAAGCATAACGTGGGCGGAGCAAGCTGTGGACCGGGGCGGACAGCGACCAACGACCGTTGACCAGCGACAGTATCGACTAGCGATGGATTGGCCCTGTAATCAAATTGTCATCCTACGACCCTTAAAATCAAGTCGACTTCTGGTATAGGTGGCGTATGGCAATATCACCTGGTCACTATTGACCAGATTGACCGACGATCAACCAGGGCGTGACGCAAAAAAAAAGGTGTAAAGAGTATCTACTTGTGTATAGGGAATGTCTTATGACTAGACTCCACAAGAACGTCCGAGAATGGGAGTTTATTTTTTTCCTAAGTTAGTTAAGTTCTATTAACACACACACACACACATGTGAGTGTGTGTATGTGTACGTATGTATGTATGTATATATATGATATGAGATAACGATATATATTTTTATATATCAAGAAGAGTATTGAGGAAATTGTAAGACAAAATGAAAGAAGTTATATATATATATATATATATATATATATATATATATATATATATATATATAAAACTGAACATTAAAGTCAACACTCAGAGGCGACAGGCTGTTTCATGCTAGAAGAAATCGTCAGGCTGCGTCTTTACATCTCTATCTCTGATATTGAGCACTTTATCCCATGAATATAGCACGCCTTAAAAAATATTTGTTCATATATATATATATATATATATATATATATATATATATATGTGTGTGTGTGTGTGTGTGTGTGTGTGTGTGTGTGTGTGTGTGAAAAAATATAGAAAATAGGAAAGAACTCGTTAGGTAAATAATCCAAAGTTCTTTAGTATTTTTGTTATTATTTTTAAAAATAATGCTCGATACAAAAGTAGAGCATAAATATAGTTATTTATCTAAAAATATGATTCCAACACGCTACAAAGAGTTCTCATGTTTCAAAACAATTAGCCAAAAACTTCAATATAATTATTTGAAATTGAAGATTGAATTAAGCTTAGTACTTTAATTCTGTTCCATCTTCAAATAATTATATTGAAGATTTTCGGCTCTTGTTTTGAAACATGAGAACTCTTATGTAGCATG